TTAATATCTCATTTGGTTACATGTCAGCATTACTTAAGTCGTAATTGAAAAATCAACGATCTAAATAACTCAGTTGTTATTTCCTTTCGCTAGAAGTAAAAAATCTTAAGTTCAAATTATATGATATGCCTCTGAAGTAAAATAAATAATGAAAGATGATTGTCTCTCATTGTGCAACTAAAATTACAAAACTTTCGCTGGAAATAAGAAATCCTGAATTCGAGTCATATGATATGTAGGTAAAATGAAATAAGAAATGAAAAATAATTACCTCCCATTGTACAACCAAAATAAAAAAAAAAAATCACAAGTGAAAAAATAACCATAATGCTTTATATTTATCCTATGTGGGATTTTAACACTGAATATTGTTTGCCAAACACATTATCTATTTATGTCTCTTCAAATATGTGAATTTTCTTCGTTGTTAAATTGGTTAGTCATGATAATGACTTCAAGTACCGGATAACAAAAACCATCATGCAACAAATTCAGTTAAGCAATTTTGATATAGACTTCCCCCTGGAGATGTGCAACTAACAGAGAAACACAGAAAAAGCAAGGGCAAAAAGGCACAACCATGAAATTTCAATTGTCAAACTTTAGAACAGATGAACCATGTCCAGTGAAACTTTGGAAAAGAAGAGAAAATAATAGACTACATCTTCAAGCACACTATCAAGAAAGAACAAAACACCCTTGACACAGCATGTATTTAGTTTCACTTATCACTTTCTATCCCCATTCTTAATTACTTTTTCCATGGGAACTGGGGATTATTGATGCAGAAACCATAGTTCCAAAGAAAAATCACTAATCACTTGCAACATATTATACAGGAGCCAATATGGTAGTCTCCAAGATGTGTCAACTCACTTTGACTAGCCTGTGGCCTTGGATTGCAATATTTGCACAAGAGGCCATAAGATATCCATCCTATGCATCACTCTGTTGTTTTGCCCCTGCAATGATTCAAATTTCAAAATTATTTCCAAAATAAGAAAAATCTAAAAAAGTAGAGATTAATGAATTAATCTCCATTAATGACACTATTTCCTGTA